TTGAATAAGGTTTTCCTGTCCATGGCGAAGGGGTTGGAACTAGTTATCTTTGAGGTCCCTTGCAATCCAAGCCATTCTGAGAGTCTATAATTCCGTAAGTTTGGATGTTAGTGGTATTAGTGTGGTCAACCAATTCTATGACTGACTGGTCAGAGGAGATCAAATGAATAAGAACTAGTAATAGCATTTTATTTAATAACTTTAGATATTATTTTCCAACTAAAGTCATGTTTGAAATATTGCCATTTCTTTTGCAATCAAGCAAGGCATTATCAAGAGATTGTCCTTGCTTCCTTCTGTCACAGGCTAAGAAGTGGCTGCAGGTTGACAAAGTCTGCCAAGAGATGGTCTTCATTGCATGGCATCAGATAGTCAGAGATCAAATACTTGGTGGTAGAGATTTGCTTTCAGTGATATTCTGCTGCAACATAATTCAAAACCTGCCTTTTTTTCCCCAGCAGATCAGTGACGTGGTTCCCCAGCGGGATGCCGGATATGCCAACCTGAAGGATGCTGCCTGGTTTCTAAGCTCCCATCTGCTCACCATGGTGCGTATCCAATGTCTGCAGTTCCTTCTCACCCCACTTACCAACAGGAAGATGAAGCAAAGAGCAATGACATTTATCCATGCTAGCTAATTTCTAATCTAGGGACAAAATCTGTTTCTCCTGTGTTCTGGGCATTCGTGCCAATATGGGTTGAGCGTACATATTCAAGTGTATGTCCCTATACCTCTCTGCACATTTTTGGGTGTACTGGTCTCGATGTACGCTCACATATATTTTGAAATAGTGCATATACAGCACTGGTCTCTGCACATGGCCACTAAAGCCAAGGAAACCACAATTCAGAGTATAACCAACTGGTAACCACAACCCTTGCACCTTCTCAGCAAAGGTGTTCTCATTTCCAATGAAAACTGGTAATTCGACTGAAATTGGAGAGTGAGTCTGGGCACCACAGGAGGCAAGGCTAAAGGCTGATTTACAAGAGGCATGGGCTGCAAAAGAAGACCCTAGTTAGCACTTCCAGCTTTCCAAATGTTGCCCAGGCCAACACCGTTCATGCCAGCAGTTTGAGCTGCCATAACTTGGCATGGTCATGGAAAGCACTTGTTCTATGCTTTCCCAAACTGCACTCCCACACAGCCCCTTCCCTCTGCCAGCACAGGTGAACAAGGCTGGGAAACTGATCTGGATTTAAAGCTCACTGACAGATGCTTATGTGTCTGTTTACCAGGTTTTGGCAGGTATGTCTTAAACTGAGCACAGTGCCGTATGCACAGAATCACAGAATGGTTTGGATTGGAAGGGACATTGAAGCCCACCCAGCTCCACCAACTGCTGTGGGCAGGGCTGCCACCCATCAGCTCAGGCTGCCCAGGGCCCCATCCAACTGGCCTTGAATGCCTCCAGTGATGGGGCACCCACAGCTTCTCTGAGCAGCCTGTGGCAGTGTTCTGCTCAGTTCTGCTGTATTGTCCGATGAGGAGGGTGAGATAGGAGTGGAAAAGAACAGCAAAACATTAAACAGTTTCTCTTGGTTGGAAACAAATTAATGGAGGCTTAAAATGACTCTGGGGCTACAGCCCTGACTCAGTGGGAGTCCACTGCCAGCCAGATATGTGCCCTGTTTGTCCCTTGAAAAGCATGAGGTCAGAATCAAAGTGCCATCCACAGCTTGAATTAAAGATAAGGTAGGTTTGGAAAATCAGTCCCTCTCTTCTGAGATCTGCCTGTCCCTGGTAGAGATTTCTCTGATTCAGTTGCCTGCAGCCTCTAAAAATTTGTATGTGATAAATATTTTCTATCAGACATGAATCTGGGGCAGTGAATGTAAGCCCCTCAACAATAGATTTGCTTAGCTCAGTTTGCTTCTGCAAACACATTAAAAGAAGTGCATCAGTCATTTCAGATCCAGATTTGCTGGTTGCAGACCAATGATCTAATTTGTCCTTAAATTCCGCACTGAGGATGATGTGCGCGGAGGAGTGATGTGAGTGAAGAAGCAAGTGGGCAATCTGCGAGTGGAAGAAGAGAAAACCTGCCTGCATTTCGGAGTGGAAGTGGGGTAAAATCCTTCTTGTATTTAAGCATGCATGGGAAACGGGAGCTTATTGTTCCAGAGGCTGCTGATCTTTGGGACTGCTTGAAAATGGCTGGGAGCGAGGCACATATGGCCGGATGGGAACGATGTGCCAATCAGGTGTAGCAGCTAGCATGCGTTACCTGGGAAAAATGAGGCTCACCTGTAACGACCCCCACTTGTATCCCCGCCTATGCATGAAAACGCTAGACCCGATTTTCCACACATCACCAGTATAAATCAGTTACAACAACGATATACACCGGCACCGGCTTTTCAGACCGACCTTAATTACTGCAAGCAGGAAAAGAAACACAATTAAAACCGGGGGTCGAACAACAAAGAGCCGAGCGCCCAGGTGCAGTAGCAGCAGCCCTCACAAAGAGCCGGGAGCCTCTCGGGGCCCCCTCCCGCACCCCGCCCGGGGGCTCTGCGCTCACACAAAGCCGCGCAAGAAGAGCGCAGCGCCCGGAGGGTCGGGCAGAGAGGTGCGCGGAGGAGCGCTGCAGCATGCGGTCTCGGGGCTTCCTCTTCGAGTGGGCTGGTGGAGGGAGGCTTTTTTTTTTTTTTTTTTTTTTTTTTTTGGTAGTGTGAGTGATATTTATTTATTTAATTTTTTTTTTCCACCACCAACTTCCTTCCTGCTCCAACTGCCAAAGCGCAAAGCTAAGAGCTGAGAGCAGAGGAGGACCCCGCAGGCAGGCAGGCACCGCGCAGCAGTGAGTGCGAACCCGGGCGGAGCGGGGGGATTAAGGGGGGTGAACCTGGGGAGGGGGTAACTTCTTTGTTCCGGTGTTTCGTTCCATCGCCCAGCCTGGCCAGCACACGCTCAGGGCCCTGTCCGCATCCGACGGGGAAGTTGGGTTCGGCGGTTGGGATGCGGACGGGATGCGGGCAGAGGGAGAGTCATCCCTGTGCTCGAAGGATCCGTCGGTAGCCGGGCGCTGGGCTGCCCTTCTGCCCCTGCACCTCTGGGGTGGGACGTGGGGCGCCGGTGGAGCCGCGTGTCAGTGTCCCGGGGTGGGAAATTGCTTCCTCGCCTCCAAACCCGCTTCCTGGAGATAAGCCCTCGGTTGAGGGAGGGGGGCATTTAGGAGAGTGAATTGGATGTGCTGAGAGAGCGTGAATAAAACGCTGTCAGCGTGACAGCCCTCTTTGTGCCTTGTGGTGGCATAGGGGGATGAGGAGATGCATCCCCCTGTGTGCATCCCCCTGCCTCAAAAGGCTGCAGATGCACGGGCAGCCCCAGCACTGGCAGCGATGCGTAGGAGAACACAGTCCCTTCATGTCTTCCCACAGCTGGCTTTATGATGGGAAGTCCCTGATATGGCTCCAGCTCTCTCTCTGCTGCCGCATGGAAGCTTGCAGACCTCAGAGGTGCAGGTGATGCACAACTGAGAGTCGGGGCTTCAGGAAGGTGAGAAAAATACAGCAGAGCAGGGCTCTGTCACATGTCTCCGTGTGTAAAGCATCTACAGGGTTAATGCTTTTCATTTTTAATGCAGCTGGTGGCCTGAAGCCCTGGGGGGCTCTGTGGAGCTGTGTGCTTAGCACAGGAAGCCAGGCACCCCAACAGGTGGGCGCTAACATGCTCACCCTGGGGATGCTGCAGTGCCTCATCCCTGAAGAACCTCTCTGCTGGTGGAGGGCACCGGACCCAGTGGTTGAGCGAGCAGATTCAGTGCCCAGAGCTGTGCCCATCCCCAGCTCTCCCCACTCCCCAGGGCTCTTCCTTAGCCCTGAGGAACTGCTGCCTGTGAGGTAAAGGCAGGGGTGGGGAACAGGTGAGATGCGATCACCTCCCTGCCTTGGGAACATGGAAGGAAAGTCAGGTCTACAAATTGGAGATAAATGCTGGAGTGGGGTCTGATCACTGCCATCTTGCAAAGATGTACTTGAGCTGACAGCTGTACTTGAGCTGGCAGATGTTCAGCCCCAGCCAGGCTGTCCTCCATGGGTTCCTGCCACTGGCACAGCAGGCTACCTGTGTAACTCTTTGCAGGCTTTCAGAGCCTAAATGCATCTGTACCTCAGGTGAGCTGCCCCCATGGGCTGGCAGGGGAAATCTGCGACATGAATGATGCAAAGAGGAGGTCTGAGGAGCAACCAGCTGGCCCAATCCTGGCTCTGCCTCCTCTGTGCTTGGGGCTGGTAAGATCTTGCTCTCCTCCTGTGATAAATCACAACCCCTATGTAGAATGGGAACAGGCAGGCAGTTGCTTTATAGTTCTAGTGGGGGCAGACAGCCTAGTATCATGAGAAAGCTCTGGGGAGTGGAAGTGACTCAGATCTGCAGCTGGAACCCAATGGATGGCAAGACCTGGTGCTGGGTGCTGCAGCTTATCACATCCTCTTCCTGTGGCTGCTGTGCGATAGCACTGCGGGGTCACGAGGTGCCATCATTAGATGACTGCTGGGGCTGCACAGTGGTGGGACACGAGCTACAGTGCTGTTATTGGGGAGCTTCTGGTTTCTTTCCTCATGAGGACAGGCTTGTGTGCCTTTCCTATAGTGCACAGGTCCTTCATCCTCCCTGAGCCAGGAAGGGGCCTTTGGCTTCTGGGACATGCTTTCCTTCGAAGCCATTGGAACTGGGATTTCCTTTTACTTCCCAGTTGCTCCCCCCTGCAATAGTTCCTGACTCACCACAGCATGTTGTAGCAAAGCTACAGCCTTGTATTAGAGCTGCAACACAATTGAGTGCATTCACCCCTGTGCTGCTCAGTCCTTTGCCTGTAATGTGCCTTTGCCAATATGCCCCTCCTTGAATGTTTTCCACTGGTCTCATCCATGCTGGGATAGCACTGGGAGGTCTGTGTATTACTCATTGCTGCCTGATTCCACTTGCTGATTCATTGTGGACTGTTGCATAAATATATATATATTTATTTGCGTTCTCTTTCAATAAAATTGAAAACAATCCTGGGAGCTTCCTACTGGGAACTTCAAGGCCACAGCTGTAGAGAGGAACAAAGGGCTTAGTGGGGGAAATGCAAGCAACCAGGGAAAAAGTGAATTTTTAGCAGGGACAGCCTCAGAGGATGAGTTAATATAAGGGTAAGCTGAAGTGCACTGAGTGATCTGTGTAGCAGTGCAGCTCACCTCTCCTTCCCCTTGCTTGTCTCTGTTTCCTCTTCCCCTATCATGTCCCTCTGCCTCCCTGCTCTGGCTCCCATTTGGGATGCTGCCCAAGCTGCCTCACCACCTGCCTGGCGCTCAGTGTTGTGCATCCTGGCTGAGCTGGGCTCCAGCCCTCCTGTCTCTCCTTTCTGAGAGACGAAGTACAGACGTGCAGGGCTGAATGCAGCCACCATCATGCTTTCTTCCTCAGCAGGAGGGAGACCTGATGGGTCTGGGGTGAGCAAACACTGGGAATACCAACAGACAGATCAAAGTGAGTGCATCTCCTTGGGTGCTTTAGACAACATGCTGATGTAAGGGAGCTGCTGCCAGGTATACGATCTTCTTATGATCTCTGACTGTTGGCTTACAAGAAGAGGGTGAGTGAAACATCTGTCCTCAGCTACATTCCCGTCTCTGTGCCCTGCTGTGTGGCTGTGGCTCTTTGTGTGAGCTCTCTGGCAAGCACAGAAGCTATGCACAGTGGCTTGTAATTGCAGGGTTGTCGGCCAGCAATTGCACTGCAGAGTGACTGTAAATCACTCTGGTATCAGCCTCCGCTCCTGCACCTCCTCCCTGCAAGGGAAGGCTGGTGGAGGTCTGTGTGTCTGGTGTCTGTGGGTGAGCAGTGAGGGCGGAGGGGGCTGAGCTCAAGTCCAGATTTCAGCACGGCAATGTCAGGATTGCTGATTGTCGCTGCCATTTGCCTTTGACGATCCTCTTGTGTTGTGCCTGCCCGGCTGCCTGGGGAATTGACACACAGCGTGCACCCAAGGGTGCTACTCCCCCTCAGAGCAATCCCATTGACTGCCCCTCTCTGATACCCAGACCAAGTGACCATGACTGAGAAGACCCAGGAACCTCATGTGGAGGAGGATGATGACGAGCTGGATGGGAAACTGAACTACAAACCTCCTCCACAGAAGACACTGCAGGAGCTGCAAGAGTTGGACAAAGATGATGAGAGCCTCACTAAGTACAAGAAGTCTCTGCTGGGAGATGGACCTGTGGTGGCAGGTAGGCAGGAGCATCCTGGTAGGAAGGGACTGAGGAGATGCACTGCAAGAGCGTGTCTGAATACAGAGATGGGGCAAGGTGGCCTCAAAGAAAAAGTAACTTGGCTGACCAGACTTCTGCTGGCAGACTGGGGATGGACAGGTGGAGAGATAGGGGAATCTGGCAAGGAGGTGCTCTGAACATTAGATGTAAAGTATCAGAGAGTGCTAGTGTCTGAAAGGGGCTTGTGGTATGGGGTGTGTGGGCCTTGGAGGGCTGCAGGAGGGGGTTAGGAATGTGAGGGAACCAGCTTGTGCTGAAATGGGACCGATAATCTAAAGAGAGATATCTCCTGTGGTGGAAAGACCTTGTCTAGGTATTTAGGTAGTGGCTGAAGGGATCCATGTTGAGTATCTGGCATAGATACATGGTCCTGTTGTGCTACAAGAAGTTTGGTCTTACTGGGTGCTTTGTGAAGTGCATTCTCTGTGTGGGAAGTCAGTAGCATTTCTGTCCCCCTTCCCCCTCAAACGCTTAATTTCACAAGCTGACAGCTTCCCCCTCACTTTTTTACCTGCAGACCCAACAGCTCCCAACGTGGTGGTCACCCGACTCACCCTGGTGTGTGACTCTGCTCCAGGGCCAATCACTATGGACCTTACAGGTGGGTACAGACTCACTGGGCACACAGAAGAACACACAAAGGCCCTGGGATGTTTCAAATTGAAAGGGAGTTTGTCCTTGAAATATCAGTGGGCTTTAGAGGAGATGTGAGGGTATCATAGCTTTACTTTTGATTTTAAGATACACTTGTATGAAAAAGATGCAACAGAGGAAAGTGCGGAGGATCTTTCTCTCATCTAGACTGCTCTGGTAGCTTCTGGCAGAAGTGTTCCTTCTGCTTTCTCTTCTTCCTTTCATTTAGAGCACAAGGGATGTGCACGCATTTGGGTAACAAGCTGTTTTGAAACTTCAGAATCAAGCAATACTGCAGTTCCGGCTCCAGAGGGGAGAGGAACAGGCTTCACCTTATATGGGCTTTTCTATATAGAGAGGAAGCCAGACCCAGAGGAGCAGAGCAGCTTCCTGTTCAACAGCAACCACGCAGTCCCTGGGAGGCCTCACTAGCTGGGCAGGGTCTGTGATACACGCTCAGCTCACCCGGGCCTGGGACTGGGCATGGCTGAAGCAGGGCATCAACGATGTGTGCAGTGCCTAACGATGAGCCTGCACATAAATATCTCTGTGTACCAAGACCTGTGTGTGTTAAGCATTGTCCACACAGAACCACGTGGATGTGGCACTGAGGAACGTGGTTAGTGGGCATGGTGATGATGGGCTGTTGGTTGGACTAGATGATCTTAGTGGTTTTTTCCAACCTGAACGCTTCTATGATGCTTTGGTGTGAAGACTGATGCATACGCACCACTCAGGTGTTGGCATTTCTGCCTATGTCTGCTCATCGTGCAATTGCTGTGTACTCATGTTGCAGGTGTGCAGTCTTTTGAAGGGATGCTCACCTCTGACACCAGTCCCAGCCCTGGCCCTCTGTGGGTGTTCTCTCCTTGCTGTGACACCCCTAGTTAATGGCTTGATCCTCTTCTCACAGGTGACCTTGAAGCGCTCAAGAAAGAGACCTTTGTATTAAAGGAAGGAGTCGAATACAGAGTTAAGATCCATTTCAAAGTGAGTTGCTTTATGTATTGTTGTACCCATCAAGGCACTTCGTCTTTTCAGAGAATTACTTCTGCCTGTTCATCCCTTGGAAGAAGTTGTCTTCTATCCACCAAGGATGGTGAACAACAGGTTATTTGGAAATTTTGGCTGAGTTTGGCTGGACTTTACAGCCAACAGAAAGTCTTTAATTCACACAGAGTGGGAATAGAAAAGAAGGAAAAGAGATGATGGCTCTTTCATGACGTGGTAGTTCTGCTTGTATTGCTGGGCTTGATGAATGTGTAGCAAAGATTTAATACTGTAGCATTTGGCAGAAGATACCTGAATTCTCTTGTGTCATGACATATCCAAATGAGCTAGTTTCAACTCCCACTTTTCTGTTAGGCAGTGTGTCAGCTACTTCTGCTGTTTCCAGCTGAGAACAAAACTCAGTCACTGCAGTGTGGCATCCAGCACTGAAATGATCATCTCTGCAAATGTTTGCTGCAGACAAAGCTGGGTTTGGCAGAGAGGGCAAAGCGAAGGAAGATAGTGCTCCTGAAACAGGAAGGAAAATGTGAATGTGTGGGCTCTGCAGGAAAGATTTCCCTCTGTCTCTGAGGTTTACCTGCTTTCTCAGATGGCTTTGTCCCTAGACACACTTCCAGTTCTCTTTTGTGCAATGAAATATTTCCAGCTATATTTGAGCCCTGCTGACAGGAGATGCTTGGAGTTACTTAACTCCCTCCCTTAGTCCCAAGGCTGGTAGGAGCTGACACTATGTGAATTCCCCTCAAGATGTAAAAGGATCTTCCCATCTTGTTTCACCATGGAACTGTTCTATAGAGGGGCAGTGTGTGCTGGATAGGTGCAGCAAGAGATATCCATCGGAGATTTGAAGAAAGATTACAAAAAAAACTGTGCCCTCCATCCCCTGAGGAATAGCTTTGCCAGCTCCTCACTGAGTTTAGAGGGCATCTAGGAGAGTTCAGTGAATCTTGCCCACGTGTTTGTACTGAAAGCATGACTCCAGTCACCCATCTCTGGTTTCCCTTGCTTCATTTTTCTCTGTCGTTATTAGTCTGTTCTGGGAATCTGCCTCAGACACCTTCAAAGTCAGGAGAAGGATGAGTAAGAGTAGGAGATGCCCTCAGATGCCCTCAGACACACAGAGAATGCTGCAGGTCTCTGGCTACCTGTTGGGAAGTGACATTAGGACTCCCCACAGTGCGTCTTGTGCCAAGCCCTTGAGAGCAGTTGTGTGTGAGGACCCAAGGCAGACATCTCTCTAAGGAGAAAAAAACAGCAGATACAGGATCAAAACTATTCCGGTGATTCTTACTTCTGGTCACTTTGTGCAGGTAAACAGGGACATTGTGTCAGGACTAAAATACGTGCAGCACACCTACCGAACAGGAGTGAAGGGTGAGTAAGAAACCCGCATGCCCTGCACACCCATGCTCTTTCTCTTGCAACCCTCTCTGCTCAAATAAACACTCCTGCAGATTTGGACCAGGACAGGGCCTTCCTGTGCTGCTGCACAGGAGATGTGGCTTCTCAGCAGAGTGCATTAGTCTGCATTTTGTGTCACCCAGGCCAACTGTTTCCTGTGCCTGTGTGAACTCATTACAAGCCAGCTCTGCTGTCTGTATGCTACACTACCAGCTGCAGCAGAAATGTCCCCAGAGATGCTGTTCAGACGGTGTTTGCCACAGGCTTCCTCTTCACCTCCCCCACCAGCCCTTGAAGTGTGGCTCAGTCCTTCTGGAGCTTCTCACCCATCAAAGTTTCTTCCAGATGCACTTGGTAAAATTCACAGCTGCTCTGCAAAGCTTCCCACTGTGTGTGGAGGATTGTGCTTGCCTGTAGCCTCACGTGTTTTTACAGTGCTGCCCTGCCTGGGCTTTGCAGAGGAAAACCCCATTTTGCACACACATCCCATGTGTGTACTTTTGCATACAACCACCACTAAGGCTCCACTGTCCCATTAAGCATGCAGGTAATGTCCTCTGACCAGAAGAAAGAAGTAACAGAGGATAAAGAGAGATCTCTATCTGTGTGTTGTGGCTGCATACTTCCCTCAACTGTTTGTTGTGGGAGCAGCATAGAGATGTGAGAGGGTACAGACTAACTGCCTGCCCATCTTAACCTACTTTCTCACTTACTTCACTGATGGTACCCCTTGCTGGCCACGTCCCTTTTTCTCACCGCTCCATTATTTCCTTTCTGTCAGTCATCTGTACTTGTGTTCATAGCTTTTTCTCTCCTTTATTATTCCCCTCCTGAGAGTCTCATTCCATGTGGATTGTTTTCTCCTAGTGGACAAAGCCACATTTATGGTTGGCAGCTATGGGCCACGGCCAGAGGAGTATGAATTCCTGACGCCTATTGAAGAAGCTCCTAAGGGGATGCTGGCTCGAGGCACCTACCACAACAAGTCCTTCTTCACGGATGATGACAAGCATGACCATCTCACCTGGGAATGGAATCTGTCCATCAAGAAGGAATGGACAGAATGAGTGCACCCCATTTGCCTTCCCCCTTCCCTTCCCTTTGCCTCCTGCACCAGTCTCCAGGTGGGCCATGCCCACCACGCTGCTCCATCCTGCCACCATGGCCAGCCACAGCCCTTGCAGCTCTCCTCATGGGTGCTGGGGCTCTGTGCCAGCCTTGGTTGATGCACAGGCCTGCAGGTGGCCTTTGCTGCTTCTTCTGATACACTGAAAATAACCCACCCATTCTCACCACCACCCCATCATGACATGCAATGGATTAAATTGGGAAGCATATCCTGCCCTTTCTCCCAGTACTTCCTCTTGCTGCCTCCATCTCTCCTTCTATACCAACTCTGGTCCCGGGAAGTGCCTTTTCTAGGAAACAAGACCACCTCGCCAGCTCCTTGAGTCTCCTGGCAGGGCAGACTGGTCCCTGGAAAATCCCTCTCTGAGTTACACTTGCCATATGCCCTGACTCATTGTAAATGGCTACTTATATCTCCCATGATGGTCTCCTGGTTTGTATCTGGTGCCCCACCCCATTGAAATCCATCCTTGTGCAGGCAAAACCAGTCAGGGGGATGCAGCTAGATGCTGTAACAAGACATCAGTGTCTCAAGAATAAAAATGATTTCTTTCTTCTTCTCTGCATGAGCGTCTGTTTCTTTTCTGGAGTATGGCTCCTGATACTTCAGAGTTTGGCAGTGAGGCATTCACTTCTCATGTTTAACATTTCCCATGGCAACTGTTCTCATCCACCAGAGGAGATGCAGGACTGCATGTCCCGCTGACTGAGCAAGTGCACAGGAGCATCTGTGGGACCCAGCGCCCAGGGAAGTGGAGGAGAACCCTCTACGCAGTGGGTGCAGCTGAGATGCCCAACACTGTGTGTGAGGGCACACCAGCAACAGCGTTGGTGAGTTTATCCAAGGCTGACGCCTGTGCAGCAGGGAGGCCCAGGGCTTTCTCCCAGCCAAACAGTTATCTCAGGAGCTGGAAGTTTTGCCCCGGCCAGCTGCTCCTTTCCCATCACACGGGAGTGACTGTGAGCCCCAGCAGCAGATGACGTGTCGCTTGCCAAGGAGAGGTGTGGAACAAGGTGAAGAGAAGGCAAGCAGGCACTATGGGCACCTCTGTCTTCCCATGTCTCTTTGTTATCCTCCTAGCCGGGAGCTCCCCAGCAGGCTGTGCTGAAGACAACAGCTCTGCATCCCACAGTAAGTGAGCCTTCCCAGTCTTCCTCCTCACCCAGGGTGTGCTGTGCAAGCTGTGCATCGAGCTGGTGGGAGAGATATGGGGGGAGCATGTAAGGGGTGAGATGCCCACATGGGTGTGTGTGGGAGCCTCAGAGCTGCTCTTCTGTACCCTTGGTCCAATTCTGACCTTTTCTCTTCAGGCACGGAAGGAGATGCAGGGAAACTTGTCCTACTGAATGACATCGCAGACGTGGAAGCCTTCATCAGTGGTGCGGAGGTGGCAGTTGTTGGGTTCTTCCAGGTGTGTTGGCAGCAAATCCCCTCTGACAGGTGGAGCCCTATCTCTGGTGGGACAGCAGGGCTGCATGGGGCCCTTCATATACCTTCATGCAGTGGCTCCTGCCATGGAGAGATGCTAGGATTGTGATAGACTTGAAGGCATGAAGTGAGGGACGCATGGAGTGGGAAATGAAGCAAGGGGGGGATGTGAGGCTGTTGGTAGGAGCCTGAAGTGTGAGAAAGAAAAATGCTGCAGGGGAAGGAAAAGGGGAATGTGGGTGGCAGAGAAACTGAGTGCAGCACGAGATGAGTGGGAACACTGGTTGTTGGCTTTGGTCATTGGTGGCAGAGCGAGGCACTGCCTGCATGACAGGGCTGGGGAAGCTGGGCCCTGGGGAGCAGTGATGGTGGGGATCCTGTCTGAGAGGATTTGGGCTTAAGCTCAGTTTTCTCTTAGGGAGAACAGTGGCACGGTCCCTCTGCCTGCTTCGTTCCCCAGAGTTGATACCCTTGAGATCTGTGCCTCTCCATGACCAAATTCAATTGAAATCAGACGTCAGAGTGACTGATTTGTGCATGTGCCGCTTGCCCCTTTTTCCTGCTACTTGAACTCTGGACTGCATACACTGCTTATGCCAGAGAAGACTTAATCCTTCCCAAACTAACTTCTTTCTGCAAGCTCCGTCCTCCTCCTGTTCTAGTCCTGGGGCTATAGAGCAGACTTGAGAGGGATTATGTGAGTGGGGTAAGGCAATGACATCTTGCAGCAGAGTGCACTGCAGAGTGAGGACTGATGCTTCTGTAGCAATAAGTGTGTGCATGCTGGAGGCCTTTGCCCCAGGGCCTTGCTAAACACTGATCACAGAGCACTAGCTGCCCGGGGCTGGGGCCTGCAGGCATACAGAGTTCCTTGGGGGCCTCTCTGGCAGCACCGTAGCCCTATAGGCCAGAGAGGCTCAGCTGTCTCCTTCTCTGGGGCAGCTGGCTGGGGTTATGACCGGGCTGGGACCTCCTGTGGGCAGAGTTTTGTGCCACCAGTACCCCATGCCACCTCTGCCTCCCTCCCATGGCGTAGTTTCATTTATCAGCACGGGTCTGGGCAGCACAAGGTGCTAGGGCAGGGAGGGCTGAGTGTGCCGTCCTGAAGTGTGGGGACAGTCCTGGCTGCCAGGAGCACGGGGCAGCAGCCAGCAGCCTGGCATGTGTTCAGTGTGTGAAGCACAGCAGGGCTGTGTTTAAGCAGCAGATAAGGACCTATGAGTGCCATGAGGCCTTGTCTTGGCTCTCTGCCCAAGAGTATATTCATCCACATAATGCCTGCGTTCTCTGCTCACCATAAATCATTTCTCTGCTGCAGCCTTTCATCTCACTGCAGTGCACAGGTCAGCAAGCTGTGCCCGTAATGAGCTGGGAACTGCATGCCACGATGGAAAAACAGCATGCTGCTCCGTGTGCTGTGTGAGAACAGGGCCTGTTCAGCCAGATCAAACCCATCCTTCATAGGAATGCTCCAAAACAAAGCAAATTCCCACACCATGCCTTAATGCAATCACCACAGCCATGTCGACACGCTGGCATTTCCAAAACAGGTCACAAGAACTGTTTTCCTTTCACTGAAGAAGGAATTTTGTTTTCTGTTCTCTCTGGGCCCGCAAACAGCTGAGCTGACAGTTCAAAACGAAAAGAAAAACAAAACAGCTTCCAAGCAGAGACTGTGTCTCGAGAATTTGAATCTAAAAAGTATCAAAAATACATCCCTCAGAAGAGAAGTTAGGAATGGGAACAGGAAGGCATGCGTTAATGCAGCCTCAGGCTGGAGCTAATGCTCTCACTAGATGTGGTAAGCCCGAGGTATTTAACAATTTTAACAGCCCCCTGAATCAAGACTGTCTTAAAAATGATCTATGTATATAATGCACATAGCATGCACGTCTGTACGTGTATATACATAAGGGTTACACCTGGGTTCTCACTTTCTCCCCTCCTTTCTGAGAGCTTCTGAGAGCACAGGGGCCACGCTGCAGCCCCGCGGCTCCCAGCACCGGGAGGAAGACGAAGAGGAAGGCCGCTCGCCCGCAGCTGCGGGAAATGGCGGAGCGAAGCGCCCCGCGGGCGGCTCCCGGGGGCGGCCGGTAGGTGTCGCCCTTACGCCGGCGGGGCGCCGCTCTGACCGCCCTCTATCCCTGCGCCCGCAGGAGCCGGAGAGCCCCGAGGTGTCGCAGCTCCGCCTGGCGGCCGCGCGGATCCCGGAGGTGCCCTTCGCGCTCAGCAGCAGCTCCGCGGTGCGGGAGCACTACGGCGTGACGGCGGCCACCCTCACGCTGTTCCGCAAGGTGCGTGCGCGGCGTGGCGCTCGGAACGAGGTTCTTTACAAAGAATGGGGGCTGTGTTCTGAATGGCTCGCACGGAGTGCGGCGTGACTTGGATGGGGTTCCCGTGGCTTTGGAAAGGCTCCTGAGGCACATGGAAGGCATCTCCCGGCTGTGTTACAGTGAATCAACACAGCAGGAAATCACATCTTGCCAAGCTCACTTCAGGCGGGCTAAGCTGGCTCCGTGCATGCCCAATTTTTCCATCAAGGCTGAAACCATAGGCGTAGCGGGGCTCTGCAGCGACAGATGCCGTGCCACCAAATGAAATCCCCAACAGTAGATCCCTCTTAAGTCTAACACTGTGGTTTGGTGAGCTGTTCTTTAGGCGTGGGCCCATTAATAATCATAGAATCACAGAATCGTTATGGTTGGAAAATACCACTAAGATCACCTAGCCCAACCATCAGCCCATCCCCACCGTGCCCACTGACCACGTCCCTCAGTGCCACATCCACGTGGCTCTTGAATACCTCCAGGGACGGTGACTCTACCACCTCCCTGGGCAGCCTGTGCCACTGCTGCACCACTCTATCAAGGGCAATGTGCCCTTGTGGCCAAAATGACCAGTGTCTGGTAGTGACGGGACATGGAGTAGCGGCCTAAAACTTGAACATAGGAAGTTCCATACAAGCACATGGAAGAACTTCTTTATCGTAAGGGTGACAGACCACTGGAATAGGTTGTCCAGAGAGATTGTGGAGTTTTCTTCAATGGAGATATTAAAGATCCGTTTGGATGCCTACTTGTGCGACCTACTGTAGGGAACATCCTTTAGCAGGGGGGTTGGGCTCAGTGATCTCTTGAGGTCCCTTCCAACTCCTGCAGTTCTAGATTCTGTGATTCTGTAATTCTAAGAAATTTTCTCTAATATCCAACATGAACCTCCCCTGGAACAACTTGAGGTTATCACTTCTCATCCTATTGCTGTTACCCAGAAGAAGAGGGTGACTCCCATCTTGCTACAACCTCTTTTCATATTGTTGTAGAGAGTAATAAGGTCTCCCCTGAACTTCCTCTTCTCCAGACTGAACAATCCCAGCTCCTTCAGCCACTCCCCATCACACTTGTGCTCCAGATCCCTCACAGCTCCTTCTCTGGACATGCTCCAACTCCTCAATGTCTTTTTTGCAGTGAAAGGTCCAAAACTAAACACAGCACTCGAAGTACTACTTTGCAGTTTGTGAGGGATGGATGCTGTGCAAGCTCAAATAATTTTGACTGCAGTCATAGCTGTCTTGTTCTGAAATTAAAGGTATTCCTACTGAAATATAAGATGATGATCTTTTGAAGGGTTTTTTGAAGGGCCATGTACTTACTGCAAGAATACCACCAAAAGCCAAGAGCAGCCATATCAGTTTCCTGTTTTGGACTTGAAAACAGGGGAGAGAGGTGCATCAGAGGAGAGGGGCCCTAAGAAGTGCAAGATATCTTAAAAGTGCAAGATATCTACAAAGTGCAGTGTTACAAAAGCTCTAAGCACACTGGCTGGTTCTGTACGCTACAGAAACTGGATGTGGTGCCTTCGTCAAGTTCTAGGTCTGAGTTTCACAAAGGTTACATAAAGCCCATTTGTTCCGTTCTTTTTCATCTGTTCCTGCACCATGTTTACCACCAGTATAATCCAAATAGTGCAAGGAGAATGATCTACGAGTGAGAAATAAGTAGACAAATCCTTTCCTTTAACTTTTTATTTGCCATGCACAGATCATAGAATCACCAAGGTTGGAAAAGACCTCAAAGATCTTCCATTCCAACCACCCAACTACTACTGATATGTCCCCACTAAATCATGCCCCTTAGTACATACAACATCTAAACATTTCTTGAACATCTCCAGGAGTGGTGACTCCACCACTCTCCTGGGCAGCTCATTCCAGTGCATGACCACTCTTCCAGGAAGAATGTTTCCTAACATCCAACCTGAATCTCCCCTGGTGCAATGTTGCAATTCCGATTTGAAGTAACACCCACCTTAGTTTTGGTTCTTGGATATGATGATTTTCTTCCAGAAACACTGAAAAGATCCTTTGTTTTTACTCTGTGGCAGATAGTGAGCATTGAATACTGCATTGGGACAGTGTTTGATAAAAGAAAGTTTGGATTGTTGGAATTTGTATTCTATGGAAAATTCACGGTTCAATTTTTACAGCTGAATTCTTATTTAATAAGGAAAAAAATCAAGAAACAATGGCACTAGCTAGGTTAAAATGAGGTTGGCAATTCTTTTGTCTATTTTCTTAAATTTAAGTTATTTTTCTGAAATTTAAGTTATTCAGACATTATTTTTCCTTTTATTCTGAATACTGTGTAGGAGTAAGGAGTCAGAGCTAAGAAATAAAAGTAAAAAGAACTGAGATGGGAACTTAGAATCAAATACTCATTTGAAGAATACGAAGATGGGTGACCAGGATAGCAGTGAATCAGAGGCATAAACTCATCCTTCCTTGTTTTTGCATGGCATGAAACACACACAATGCTTAGAAATTTATAATTATGGTAGTAGGATGGTCTGCTGTCAACTGCTGAAACTTTTTTGTGCATAGTGGAGCAAAGCTAATTTATTGTATTGAAGAATCTAGCCTGACAGATCTAAAAAGGACATAACTAACAGATGTGAATAAGCTAATTATAAAGAGTGATGAAGACATTTTGGCCAGAGCTTCAACTATTAGATGTAGACTATTTTCAACCTTTTTTTCTTGGAATCCTAAATGCTGACAGCACGTCAAGGATATTTTTACCCCTAGATGAAAACCAGGTGTTTGCAGAAGTCCACTAAAGTTAAGAGAAAGTTTTCTGTGCTTCGATTGGTTCCCAAAGCCTCTCTGATCTCACCCGCTCAGGTGTTGCACTGACCTGATCCCATTCACTAGAGTAGAGCCACCCTTTCACTTTATGCTGGGGCAAATCTTTGAGAGAAATCATGCTGCACTGTCTGAAAAACACCGGTTTGGGTTACCAGACCCAATGGCCCCCTACCAGATCAAAGACCTTGCTAACGACCACAGGAAAGCAAAAAATGTTGTTAGATGTCTGCACACTGCTGGAAAAACTAACACAAGTGTTTTCAGAGGTTGTACAGATGCAGAGGATAAAATCCGGGGTGTGCATGTGGACATTTCCTCAGCTCTGAGAACCTCATTCAACACAAGTATGAAAAGTCTTCAAGTCCCAAACTTTGATCCCACTGGTTGTCGCAGCCTAGCACGCCCGTGGCTCAACTCATTCATCTCTTGCAGTGGTACCATACAGCAACTATGCCCTGTTGGCTGGTTTAGCTTTTATTTGATGTTTGACTGCTCTTTTTTTTTCCTATTTACCAAGTCAAGCAAACCTCAATAAAATTACATCTTGGGGGTGAGAGGGGGTGAGTGTGGGAAGATGTGTGGCAGGATGGATTTTCCTCTAAAGCTAAAATGTGCTCTGCTTGATTTTTATTTTTATTTTTTTTCTGCTGTACTGGAAAAAAATCCTCTTTTTATTGGAGAGATTTCCTGCTTGCACAATGTTTCCAGGAAATCCATACAGGTCCATGCCAATGTTTATTACTTGTAGAAGAAATAGAATAAGCAGATGAAGATTTTAAAGAGGAATACAAAGCCAAAATTGATGCAAGGAATTAGGCTATGTTAATGATCTCTTCCCACAACTCCTAGATTAGTTTATTGGCTAATCTTCCCTGTCTCCAGTGCAGTAGGAGCAGATAATGATAGGACGTCTTGTTCTCAGTGATTTCTCATGTGCCATGAGTTTGCCTTGTCCTTGGGAGACTGAGGGAGGGTGGAAGATCCTTATGTTGAAGTACGTGCAGATCTCTGTAGGTCTAATGGCTCTTGACCTCAAGAAATGGCGATTTCATTCTGGAAAGAAGACAAAGATGGTGTCCTGGGGGGTGGGTGTCTCTGTGAGTGAGTGCCGTCAGCAGCTCTGAAGGATACAAGGAGGGGACAGCTGTGACCTGTGGTATCTTTGCATGTCTTCAGGCAGACAAAGACCGGAGAGACATGGATATGGACAAAGAAGAAATTGATGCCGATAAGATGAGTCGTTTCATTCGAATGAATGAGCTCCGCCTGGTGACAGAGTACAACCCTACGGTAATTAGCAGCTTCTCGCTGCCCTCACCCCAGCACCCGGCCTCCTCCATACCTGCCTCCTCTGGCTCAAGTGTTTATGCATGAGGATGTGTGCAGGGGTTGCCACAGTGGTGTAGATGGAGTTGGGGGAAGCCCATGCATATCTTTGCTGCAGCTGAATGGCGTGGGAGCAGATATTGCATTGGATTAGACAAGTGGGATGGAGAGAGGACAGGTGGCAGTTCTTCTGATCTCCCAGTAGCTTTGAGGCATTGGTGGGCAAAGATCTGCATTTCTTACCATGCTGCTTCTTCCCTTTGGCATTTGTCATGTTGTACCATGCCTGCAGATCTTGCTCGGCCAGGATCCCCTCTCCATGGCTGAGAAACATCAAGAAACATGGAAATCTAAGCGACTGCTCCTAGGAGCAGGCTTTTCTTCATCACCCAGAAAAGTGGGCTCAACATATGTCTGGCTATTCAAAGCATATTCAAAAGCTGGTAGGAAACTTCCCAAACAAAAATTTTCCCATCCCCTCCATCCTTCACCCCATTGTTTGTCAACTCAACAACAACAACAAAAAAATCAGACATAGGATCATAGAATCATAGAATCAGAGTCATAGAATATCCTGATCTGGAAGGAACCCGTAAGGATGCGCAGGTCCAACTCTTGGCTCCAACACAGGACAACCTGAAAATCAGACTGTATGCCTGAGAGCACTGTCCAGATGTTTCTTGAACTCTGGCACTTGGGGCAGTGCCCATTGCCCTGTGCAGCCCTGAAATGCTGGCAGTTCACTGGGATGCTTGCTATGGAGCCAGTGAGTTTTATAAGTCCAGCTGACTGCAAGGCTGAGACTGTCATTGCTAACAGTGTCTTCTGAATAGCTCTAGCAGTGCTGATCATGCTCAGTATAATCAAAGGAGGATGGCCTGACCAGTTTCTAAGTTGTATCTTTTCAAACAGATGCCAAACATCAGCTAAGAGGACTGGCACATTCCCCAGTTCAGATTCAGCATGCTATTTTGGGAGAGCATTTTGTTTTGGAAATGCAGCATTTTGTTTCTGAAGTGAAATACCGTAGAATCTTTTTTTTCTTCTATTTTTTTTTTTTTTTAATAATAATTAAAATGCAGATTTATCTTTTTTCTTTTGAGAAGGGATATGAAAAACATTTCAGAATCACAGAACATTTCCTAGAACAGAAAAGCTATATCCTGCCCCACTGTCCTGACAACTCTTCGAGAACAGCCCAGAAGTGACAGTGCGGATGTTCTTATTATCTTTATAAAAATCCTGGCCTTCTGAATCCTTGTGGCCTTCACTGCATCCCTTGGTAGTTCATCAGACTGTAGCTCTCTCTCTATGAGTTTCTTCTCCACAGTGTGCCATTTGGCACCCAGACTGCCTTTCAGACCTGGAGCTTCTGAGCTTTTCAGCCATTCTTTCCAGCCTGGCTTGCAGTCCATGTGGTGTTTTGTCTTTTTTTTTTTTTTTCTCTTGACACTCTGGAGCACTACCAAGGTGCTGCAATTAATAGTGCCTCCTGCTGTCCAAGGCTTGAAGCCCTTCCAGCTCTGCTAAAATAGCTTGTCGTTTTTTGTTTTTTTTTTTTTTTTTTTTTTAAATAAATATTTATTCCCAGTGCATATGCTGTTTATATCTAAGAATGCTGCAGGTCAGCAAAGGCTTGGATAACAGGGATCAAATCAAGCACTGCCAAGAGTTTCTCTCCCTGTCCCGGGGCCCTAACTATTTCTCCCACATACTTCAGGCATTTTTAGGCAACACTTAGCTGTGTACTTCCCAGGAGAGTGTGATGCAATCCAGCCATGATGCTAAGCTATGCAAATCTCTTGTGAATGTCTGTGTGGACAGATACATCTTTGTGTGCCACTGAACTGCTGCTCCAGCCATGCCCCCACAGCCACATGGCTCTTGGTGCTGCCTGGCTTCACCCTCACCTCCAGCCCTGTTCTTTTCCATCAGGTCTTCTGACGCTCTGTGTTCCCTCTGCTCTGCCCTGCCCCACCTGCATGCTACAGAGAAGCTAAGGGATACGAAAAGTCTGAGAAGCATTAGGGAAAGGAGAAAATCCCAGTCACCAGAAAAAGATGCTTTGTGGTGCAGACGTGCACTCTCTGACCCTGTCTCTGTTACTCCCGGTCTCCTCCTCTGGGGAAGTGCTGGCTTCCCTCTATGGATCTCTATGGCTTGCGTGGTTTTGGCTGCGTGTGGGGATGCAGCAGGTCAGCTGGAGCACAGCCCCATTCCTGTTTGATTTGAGGGAGAGGTGCTTTGCCTGGGGAACAGGTGGGAGGAGAGGTGGGATGAGGAGCAGTGAATACCTGGAGGTTGCACATGGGCTTCCTGAGCACTGCCAGCCCCTCCTCCTCACAAAGGGCAATTGTGTGCAGCCTGCTCAGCCCCTTCCCAGGGCTGCTGCAGTCCTCTCTCCACTCCAAAGCAGAGCTCTGGAGGTAGTCTTAACCCAAAGCACTTTGGACTGCCCAGCCCCTTGGGTTGCTGAAGTGGAGCTTTGGACTCACCCTCATCCAAAACACAGTGCAGTGCTGAGGAAAGGAAATAAGATGACACACCAACCCTGGCACCACAAACCCTTCCCACTTGCTTGTTCCCAATTCAGCCAGGTGCTGGATCTCAGCAATTCAGGGCATCATTACCATGGAATCATACAATCAGAATCATTAAGGCTGGAAAAGACATCTTTGATCATCTAGCCCAACCATCTACCTACCACCAGCACTGTCCACTATGTTCCTCAGTTCCACAGCTACATGTTTCTTGAAAACCTCCGGGGACATTGATTCCACCACACTCTGGGCAGCTTGTTCCAGTGCCCGACTACTCTTTTGGAGAATTTTTTCCAAATATCCAAGCTGAACCTCCCCTGGTGCAACTTCACGTCATTGCAGAGTGTGATAAGGTCTCCCCTGAGTCTCCTCTTATTATGCTGAGTGTTTTCAGACCTTCCCTCTCCAATTCCTTGCCCTTCCAGCCATCAGCTTGCTCTGAACAGATAGTCTTCCTGCCTGGTCACTGGCCATCCCAAGGCAAGTGAGGAGCCCTTGTGATCTGCAGACTCTTGGCTCAGGAATAAGTGAAACCAAGAGGTTAAGTGTTTCCACAAAGAACCCAGATTAGGTGCCTCCTGCTTTGAAAGAACTTGTCCTGCTTATTGGACTGATTTGCAAAGAAGTCTCAGCTTAGGCATAGGAGTTGATGCCATTCTGGCAGTGCATCCGATGTACACTGAATGTCTCTTTGTGTGTTTCTCTCTCTGTTTTGGTGGTCGTATTTTTTGCAGACAGCAGTAGGTGTGCTGCACAGTTCTCTCCTGCTCCACCTCCTCCTGTTCACAGACAAGAAGTCCCCAGAGCACCCTGAGCAAATGCGCAGATATCGTGCAGCAGCGGAGCTCTTTGAGGGTAAGGTAAGTCCAAAGAGGAGAGTCTTGGGAGAGCAAAAAGGAAAGACAGTGATTACTTCCATGGAAATAGAGGGCATCATGTCCTGTTCTGTGTGTTAGGGAACCAGTGACCAAGTGGGAGAAAAAGATGATTATCTGGATAATTAAATGGAGAAGTTGGATCTGTTCACCTTTTGCCAGTTTACCTCCAAGGGGGAATAACTTTTGTATCCCGCTTCCCCATTCTCACAGTGGAACACTGTGTACTTCCTTGCTTATAGGCCAGTTTTGTTCCCTTCCACTGGGAGATGACAAACAGCTGTTGCACTTCAGCCCAGCAATGGTCACATTCCACTGTTATGAGAGGTGATCTTGTACATACAGCTTGCGAGATGCCAAAGAACATTATATAAGTGACCAGACAGCAGTTAATGTTGCAGTTCTTCTTAACACTTAGCCTTCTGGTTGGTTCCTGAGGAAGTGGCTATTTTAAAGGAATTGAGGATGTTTTTTTTTCTGATTTCCCACAGCAAGATGGTGGGGTAGATGGGGTCTTTCGGAGAAATTTCTTCAACTTCCCACCCCTGTGTGGACTGAGCTCTCCAAGCAGTAAATCTCCTTATGGCCGATTCTACGCCAGCAGCTGGATTACAGGGGATTTTGGTCCAGGGAACAGAGAAAGGAACTAGCAAGCAAAAAGGAATTGGAAGCCAGACATTTAGGACAGGGGATCAAAGCATCAGAGAAGGCTGAGATGAGTGGCAGTGGAAAGGATTTTTCTGGGAGAAACGTGGAGTTGGAAAGAGTTGGGGTTTGAGAACAAGAACATCTGCATGCATCTGTTTGCTGTACTGAAGGAGAAGATTGAAATTCAAGTATACTCTCATCTTCAGTTGGAGAGGCCTCCTCAGAACCACACACCCTCAAATGTCTCGAGATTTGTTTATGACAGGACTTCCATGGATCTTGCCATTTCTACCATCCATTGGCAAGAGAGTGGGCAGAAACCATGTGTGAAAGTCAAAGGGTCTCTTAAAAAGTGTTTTGTTTTCATTGATACTTGCTGATAAAAGAAAACAATCTGAAAAATTCCAGTTGTCATGTGAGATATTTGTTACAGTGGCTCCACTATCTCTGTTCATCAGCAGCGATACTGTTAAGCATCACTGTCCTTTGCTGATGCAGCTGCAGCCTGTTTTCCACTCATATGGCATGCTTTGATCTGACTGAAGGGGAATGATTTTCCTAGAAGTACTTCACAAAGCACTGGATAAAAAGTTGTACTGAAGTCCAGATAATTAATGAATTACCAGCTATCCAAATCTGTTTTTTTAATTCTATTATTATTATTATTATTATATTATTATCTTAATTCAGATTTCTCCCTGAGTCAGCCTAGAGGAAGTTTCTGCAAAAATAAAATACAGGGCTAAAAGGTGTAAGGGTTTGACTAATTATTTGCCCTTTATTGCAGTGGTACTGCTAGACACCTAGATGGAAGAACTGAGAATCTACTAGGTTGTATTTCCCATGGGATGAGCATTCTGAGAAGCAAATTATGATTCAGGCTGCCTTCTTACAAAGCAGTAAAAAAAGAAAGACTAGGACTAGGACTGTTTGGGTCACCTGGATCTTAGATCTAGATGCTAGAGAATAAGCAGAGCAATTATGCAGACTTAGAGTTGTCTTAGAGTTGTCTCCATTGCCTTTTTTTTTTTTTTTTTTTTTTGTGGCTTAATCTTGTCGATTAATGCAAAATTCTGGAATTTAGTTTCTTCAGAATTACCAGTGAAAAATTAATGCCCTGTAGGCAGATGGTGAAAGACTTATTTGTGCTGCAGTTTGAGCTGCCAGTGGTTTGAGTAAGGTATCATTGCCGTGCAGGTAAGAGGTTTTCAGGCTCCCTCTGTGCATGTACCACTGCACAGAGCTTGCAGAGTGCTGCAAGAATGGGGACATGGTGTGTGTCCCACCTTCTCTTCAATGACAGCACAGAACACTTACGTAGCCTTGAGAAGATTCTCAAGCAGGATTTGAGGTGCCAATTCTTTCACTCATCTCTGCTGAGTTATGAGAGCAGAGGGGTCCTTGTCATTGTCTTCACCACTTGGAGAAAGAATACAGCCTGTTGTGTGGATTTATGGAGAGAAGAAGAGAAAATGCTGTTGAGCCCAGAAAGTGAAGAAAATAGATAATGAGGAGGTGATTCACCTGGCACTTCCTGAGTTATGATCCCTTCCTCTTTGTTTTATGATCTTTTCATCTCTACCTGAGACAAATCTCAGATTTTCATCTGGAGATTCTTCTAGATTCAATAGTTCAGTTTGAGGACTATAAAATGTTGGAGAGGAAAACACAAATATTAGATGATGCTAAGTAACCAAGAGACAATAATAATAATAAGAAATGTGGTACTTTTCTAGCAGATCTTGAGAAACAATGGAGTAACAATAAACAGACAGAACTCAGTGCTACAGCTGCAGGAACCCACCAGTGTCCTTAGAAGGGTCCCACAGCAATCCAATATGTACTCATTTGGAAAAGTACTGCCAAAAATCCAAGCTTTCTACTGGAAAGGAAATGTCAGAATTAGTGTTAGTGAGCCAAACTAGCATAAGCATCCTCAGTTTTCTTTCTGTGGTATCAGAGTACAACATGACAATGACATTTGGTGTAGCTCATGAGTGTCTGCAGAAGTTTCAGTAAGGTGATTCTGGGAATAATAAAAGCAGTTTCTGCTGCAACTGATATAACTTGGTTTATAATGTTAAAATGATATGTGCAGTGACGTTCACAAAGTCCCTTTTAGTTTATATGTAGGGCCATTTAGAAATGAGTTCTGAGAAACTGCTGAAAGACCTTCAAGAGTTCTTCCATGAAAAGGAAAGGACAGTGTCCTTTTTCTTGAAGACAGTAATTTATACAGTTTTTATTTTGATTGGCAGATACGGATGTCTCTAAAGCTGAGAGAGATTATCGTTAGAGTTAACCATAAACAGGAAAAGATGGAAATATGGAATGTCTCTATCACTTGACGGATATATGAAGTTGTTTTTATAGCTTTCTTTTTTTTTTTTAGTTTGTGACTAATATTTTCATTTTGCTTTGATTTACTAAGTAAACTATGAAAGAAATGACTCAGACTTCAGAATTTGATATTTTTGCTTAGACAGTCTCCTGAAAAAATGAAGATAACAGCTCCATAAAGCTCAAGGTCAAACACTGGATACAAGGCTTGATCATCCTTCCTGTTGGTCTTCCTTGGAGAAGAAACTAAGAAACATGAAATTCGTTTCTACCATTGCAATACTATGTTCAATTTCACTGAATTCCTTGAACAATACCATCATTCTGTATTTTAGTATTTACCAGGAACTTCATGTTCTAAAAGCACCAGGCTAGGTATCAAGTTGTCACGACACTAAGACAACACCAGTGTAAAAAAAATCTTTGAAAGAATTTAATGCAGATGACATTGCACAGATAGCATTGCATGGTGTTCTGTTTTCTCAGAACATCATGTCTTGGTAGTTGTTTTAGGAGTTCCTCATGCATGCAATAGCTCCTTCACTGCCTCTAGTAGCAAGCCTTTAAACACACATACATACACAAGGAGATTGATACAAGATGAAGCAAATTCATAGAAAATCGTTTCAGACGGGGAAAAAAAAAAACAGGTATTGCAAAAGGATGGTTTAAAATGGAGAACAAACTTTCTGTTTTGGATGAAACTAGCTGATTTCTACCAGTGATATGACAGTTGGCATCATAAATGGAATTTGTTTTCGTGAGTTATAGCTTTGGAAAGTAGTCTCAGCAAAGGTTTTAGGCTCATTTCAGCACTGGTGGGAGAGAACAGTCCTTAATTCCCTTCTAAAATACATGTAATAGAAGTGCCTGTCAACATTTATTGAAGAGTTCATCCTAGACAACTGCCAGAGACCAGATCAAGATTTAGATGTCAGAAGTTAGGCAAAGTGAATCTTGTCTCATGGTCAGTAGGATTTTCCATGGTTACCGCATTTATTCTTTATGATTAGAGCTGGCTGGGAATCTCTAAGCAAAACAAATTCCTCATGAGAAAATGCCAGTTCCACCAGGTGGGATCTATCACGGACATGTCCGTGCTCAGAAATCTGCTTGGTTTCTTGTTGCTGCAGAGACCAGGCTTCCAGTGCTTGTGGCTTCAGCACAAGTGCACCCTACAGACTGCCTCACAACTGTCACTGTGTCTCACAGTGCACCCAGTGCTGTATTTTGGCAACCTGCAGCTGTGTGAGCTCCATGTGTGTCACTAGAGATATCCAAGACAAGAACTGTGGATGATGTTATCTCAGCTGTTCTAGTTGAGGGGCCCACTGTTTTGTGTTTTAACTGTTTTCTTCTGCAAGGAAGAAAAGAAGAACTGATTGGAGTTCTAATCCTCAAACTTTTTATTCTTTTATTCTTACTCTGTTCTTATGCTCATAGATAGTTTCTTAGTTTGAGGATTTTTAACAAAGGCTGGAAGCTTGATAAAGGGAAGAATGTTGACCTATATTTATATTAGTGTTTAAAATGCTGCTCATCTGTTTTAAAGCTGGAGGAACTTTTCCATTAAAACAAACAAACAAACAAACAAACTTAGTATTTCAAAGTCTTTATTAAACTAAATTCTTGTTTAACATTTGATTTAAGAAAATGTTGTTGTCTAGTGAATATTCCATAGAGAAAACCAAAACTTGGTGAACAAACTGATGAAAAATATGATACCACCTCCTGTACCATCCCTCTGAAAGTGCTTCCCTCCAACACTAGCCTATCCCAGTTTGCATGTTAGAAAGAGAGCCCTAAAACACAAGGCTTGTTCCAGTTCCTTCCACTCCAGCTCAGAACTTGGAGTTCAGCTCTTAGATCTGTGACCGTTGGATTTATGATGCTCTCTGGTTTGGTGTTTTATCCTGCAAAAGGATGAACATAGCATTCTGAACTTAGCATTCTGAACCACAACCTGTCTTCTCATTAGCTTGTTGCCTTTGGGACATAGTTAACTCTTGGAAGAGACATTGCAAGTGCATCTGTCAAATCCAGTGTAACTGTTGTTGCTGTTTATCACAATGATTAACTGCAGTTAGGCTTACATCAGCCTACCTATTCTTCCTATAGATCATTGCCTAGGGAAGTTTCCATTTATGTCTATATTTTTGTTCGTTTTTTTTTTTTTTTAAGAACATAATTTTAATTAAAAATATGAGATAATTGAATCATAGAATGGTTTGGGTTGGAAGGGGCCTCAAAGATTATCAGCACCAACCCCTGCCACCCTCCAGCTCAGGCTGCCCAGGACCCCATCCAACCTGGCCTTGAACGACTCCGGAGATGGGACACCCACAGCTCTCTGGGCAGCTGTGCCAGCACCTCATCACCCTCTCAGTGAAAAACTTCCCCCAACATCTATTCTAAATCTCTCCTCCTTTATTTTAAAATAGTTTCCCCACATCGTTCCACTATCTACCTGTGTAAAAAGTTGTAAAGGCAAAAAGTAAAAATTTACCAAGATTATTTTTAGAGAATAAAACAGTTTTGAACTAGCTTGAGTGTTCTTGATTGAAAAGAAGGAAAAACATGAGTCACAGCCTGGGAACTGAACACATCATCTTCACGTCACATTAATGTTATTTTTGTAAATGCCTCTTTTTCTTGTATAAATTTAGTCGTACCCATGTCTGTAGGTACATTTAATATATAGGACCTATAGACTGCACAGCTCAAAGAGAAGATAAAATGACACATATTAGCTGGTTGTTTGTTTCTTTAACTTGGATGTCAACTCCTGTAGGATTCTATTTAATCAGATCATTGATTAAATTGTTCAACTGCTGTATTTACTTTATCAGATGTATATGTAGTATTTGTATTTATTATTAACAGATAATTTAACAAAGTTTTTTTTATATAGATGAACACCTTATTGATAATCTTTTAGATTCTAGAATTTTAGTCTTTTACCAATTCCTACTGCAACCTGTAAAATATCAGTTGCAATTTACTCTTGAAATCATGGGATAAATAGGCACTGTCACATTATCCTAGCAGTATTATGATCCTTAACTTTGTCTTGTTCTCCAAGACTACTTGGGAGTCCAGAAAAATGTAGGCTGTTCTCACCAGGCCATCTCTCCCCAGGTCTAAACAACTCTCCATTAAACTTGACTGTAGGGGCAGTGCTGTAATGCCAACAATTCCCATTTCCCAAATTATTGCATCTTCATTTCTAGTCACTCCAGCTGACCTAAATTCATCCCCCGTGTTTTGCACTCTCATCCTTGCTGGTTTAAACTGCCCTATTCTTCCCTCCCACATTCTTGCAGTTGTGTTTTATCTTCTACACACCAAGATACCATTTTGCCATGCCACTCTGGCTCTTGCATAAATCTAAGCATCTTATCCTGACAGCATGCAAATAGAGGAATCAGCTTCTTCTACATGTGCCTTTGAGTTAAAAGACATCTTTGTTCTTCATCTGTTAAGAGAACAGAATAGGAGACTGCCGTTGTAACATACTGTGGATATATTTTTAAAGAAGGGATAAGCAGACAGTTGGAGTTGTATTGTAAATATGGATTTGATGAAATACAGAAAAATGCTGTGCATGGAGCAGTTAGATAGTGACAGAGGAAAGTGCTGTTATAACAGAGCATGTCAGGTTTTCTCTAATTCAAAAAAAGATTACTGTTGATCTGTCTATGATGACTATTTGAGGATCTGTTCTCTCAGTCTCTGCTTTGCTCACATTTTCTCTCCTATTTATATCACAGATTCTCTTTATTCTGGTAGACATTAACTTGAAAAGCAATGAGCAAGTGATGGCATACTTCAAACTGAAGAAGTCCCAGCTGCCAGCCCTGGCTATATTCCACACACCAGATGAGAAACACGATGTGTTGCCTCTGGATGAAGTCTCCATTGAACGTGTGAAGGACTTCTGTAATGCTTTCTTACAAAAAATGCAAAAGGTAAGAGAGCACATCTGTGTAGGCTATAGGATGCTTGGGTCTCATAGAAAGATGCTGTTTCTCACAAGGCTTTTCAGGAAATAACTTCAGCTCCTTGAACGTATTCCCTATCTGCTACCTCCTCCTCATTTTCATTTTCACCTGAATATCAGAAAAAACACTAGATCTTGAACAGAGCAGATATGGATGTGTTTCCAGAACCTCTTTATTCACAGACCTCTGTTGTCTTAGTCTACTTAGTCTATTGACTTTTGTATGAAGGTCTCAAAGGAAGCATCTATTTTCTGGGCGCAGCAGCTGGGAGGTTGGATGGAGGATGCTTTTGGACACTGAGTATGGGCATGGTGGTTCTCAGCAGTCAGGAGAGGATCAGAGAGACAGTGATCAATGGCAAGAATAAGAAGAAAATCTGTCAAGAAGGCCACAAAGACAAGGTATATAGACAAGGGCTTTGCTGCAGGTCTCTGGAAGGAGAGGGACAGTTTAATCTCCATGTTCATTCAGTGCTATTGTTCTCTCTTTGTCAAACCTCAACTTCCTGTAACACAGCAGCTTTGTACATCAGAACCCTGTGTTGTACAATTGAAATAGAATAGGCAGGACAGCGACATGGAGAACAAAGGGAGACATTTAAATTTGCTTGTTTCTTTTTATCACTGTGCTGAGAAATTGAGTGATGTCAAACTTGATTTCATGCCTTTACTGTGTTTTAGGAAGAAGACAAGCCAGAGGAGAAAGCCTTCAATGAGGAACTCTAACTCTTTCTCAACAAACATGATGGCTGTGCCCGGAGCCATCTGCTCTTGGTGTATAAAGAGTTCACTTAGCTTCACAGCTCAGGAATTCTTGGTATAATAGGATTAAGGGGCCAAGTCAGTCACAGATTTCCATCTCCATGCCATGCACATATTTGCTGCCTTTCCTCTCTAGGAATCACTTCTCTCTTCTGATTTGCTGGCTCCAGCTCTCTTTCTTATTTTTCCAGGTGCTCTGATATTGCTGTACATAGTGTTATTCCACATAACCTCTGATGAAGCAATGAGCAATATAACAAAATTACAATATCAGAGATATACCTTCTAGCTCCCAGAAAGACTGACAGCTCTGCTTCTCTCATGATGCCTCCCATGTTCTCTTTGCTTTTGGTGCCATGCTGGGATCCAGCAGGCTCATTTAGCCTATTGTGACACTAGGAACAGATTGGTTGTTTAATGTCACGTATTTTACTAAATAAAGCAGAAAGTGAATATCCTGAATTTTTATGGAAGTATGTGATTCCCCACTCCCCATGTCTGTCACATAAAGACAAAGCCTTTGCATTTCTGAATGCAACATCTTGCATTCATCTTGCTTGCAACATCTAAGCAGACAGATCGGTCGCTAAGAGTCATTTCCCATGGAACTGGACACGTGACCCACAAGTCCATGAGGATAAGTGATTTCTGGGATCAGACAGTGCTTTGTAAAGCAAGTGTGAGCTGATGCAGCAAAAATGAGTAAGCCTGAGATGCAGATTAAGGAATGGAAGCTGTGGCAGAATGGCAGTAGAAAATTGAATTGCAAGGTAGTGACTATTTCCACAGTGCATTAGAAGGAAAGGCTTTTGTCAGTTTATTGACCTCAGATGTCTGAGGTCTCACTGCTGGCACACAGTGGATGGGGACTTGCAGGCGAGGAGTATGAGCCATCTCTGTTCTGCTGTATTAGATGGATGCAATGGTCTTTCCTCATAGTTGGCTCTGCATCCTTTGGCATGGAGTATGGATGCTCCTGTCAAACAGTGACTGCATTGTCTCTTGGGGCTTGAGAGACTTGGCTTGAGATAGGGAGACCAAGAGGCATAAAGCTGAGAAACCTCAACACTTTCTTGGAGATCAGCCCAAGGCAAAAAACTGGGAAAAGAAAGGAGTTGTACCTGTGAATGAGGCAAAAACAGATGCCCACCACAGAGGGATAGGTGAAGTGTTGAAGGGGGTGCAAAGAAACTGCTAACCACCACAGTGAAGGGAGGAGCAAGGAGGATCTGTATACAACAGAAAGGCAGATGTTAACCCAGCATTAGTTCTTGCCTCCTCCATGTGGATCTGGCTGATGTCTCTCATCAGCCTGAGGCTCTGTCACTTACGCAGCCAGATTTACCTGCTGTAGTGCTCTGACCTCCCTTCTTCTCCACTTACATAAAGCAAGACTGTTGCTGTAAAAGTCATTTAGGGAATCAGTATTGATGCCCATTTCCAGGGGAAAGTGAGATGACCAAAACAATATTCATGACTGTGCCTTGTGTTGGCAAAGCTGACAAACTGTCTCCTTGCACAGCAAGCTCTCTCTTCAGAGGCAGGGAGGTGAGCAACATGGGGTCTCAGAACTCTGTAGTCACAGAATCAACACAGAATCCAGAGTCGTTAAGGTTGGAAAGACCTCTAGGATAATCTTCTCCCATCAGCCCATCCCCACCATGCCCACTAACTGTGTCCCTTAGTGCCACATCCACATGGTTCTTGAACACCATCAGGGATGGTGACTCCACCACGTCCCTGGGCAGCCTGTGCCACTGCAGCACCACTCTTTTGGAGAAGAAAAGTTCTTCCCTTGTCAGTTCCCTTGTTCAGTTCTTCTCTTGTCAAAGTTGAGTGCTCCCTAACCTCTGGTTGGCATATGGCTTATGGAAACTGTTGGTATCTGGATGCAGACAGATAGTAGCAGTGAAGATGTCAGTGAGGAGGTGAATTTGGGGCATTATGTGCTGTACATTTCTTTAGGCTGGTAAAAGTGGAGGCACCTGCCCTCAGCCCTTAAAGGTCTTTCACAGAGACACTTTGAGGAGCCTTGGCATTATGGATGTTCCCAGTGTCACGCACCTATGTGGTACTGACCAGTGTGTGGGTAACCAGCCTCCTGCATGGGTGTCTGAGGTTTGTGTTTTGGCCCTATACGGACATGACAACTGCAGAACCTGGGCACAGCAACGTGACTCTTCCCTGGGGCCAGAGAGAAACAAAACAGGATGTGAATGGAGCCCTGGTTCTGCAAACAAGCCCAGGAGCAAAAGCAACATCCCCAATGACCCTGTTCACTGTGTACACAGATAATTATAGGGACAGCTTTTGGGGATTTTCTCTGTGTACATGGTGGGCTGGGGGGGTGGTTCATTCCTTCTGCACCTTCCTGAGCTCAGCACATAACCAATAATCTTGGGCACCACAAGACAACTGCAGGAAAAGCCTGTAGTTACTAGAAGGACTTGCAAAGTGGTAGTAATGGAGCCAGGGATTTTGGTCTGCCTCACACCCTATGCTCTAAAGCTTCTGCAATGCAGCTTTAGTGCTGGGTTTAGTCACTGCAATGGTACATCTAAAGAAATAAACAGAGGCAGAATCTCATGGAGGGACAATCTCTGTTTGTTGTTTTATTTTGGGTTTGGGCCCCAGCTGTACTATCTCTTACTTGAGTTTGTGACGTACTTGGGCCAGATGTTTGGAGCTGCCTGAGGATACTAGGCTGGCTTTCAGGAGGAGGAATAACTAGATGCAAATCGACAGAGGGCAGGGCACTGTGTGAAAGGCACTGGGTGCAGCAACGCCTGAACCCAAAGAATCTGTAAAATATCTAAGCTAGCAGCTGAGTCTGCCCAGCAGCAAAGCTGGGCTCTGTCAGCATTTGAGAGCTTCTGTCTTTACCCCAGGGAATGGGGAATTGGGTTGCAATTGGGTGATGCAACTTCACATTCATCCTTTCTGAGAAAGGATTTGGGCCTCCGGGAGCAGAAAAAGCCTGGAGGTTCAGCGAGGGGACTGACATTTTTGTGTTTTCTCCACCCAAACTCCTTAGTGTGAAATAAGTGAATGTCTCTTAGAGACAGGGTCCCATGAGCAATCTCCACATAACCTCCTTGGGGATGAGCAACTGCCAGGTCCTCATGGCACTGCTCAGCTATCTCAGGCACATACTACAGCCCTCTCCTCAGTGTTTCCTGCTCACTGGTGGGGTATTTCCCCACTCACTGTAAAGCTTTCATCACCTTGGGCAAGGATGGTGAAAGGGGAGATTCAGTATCGTATGGGGGTATTAGTCAACAGCTGGCTGTTGACTGGAGAAGAGGAAGCTCAGGGGAAACCTTATCTACAGTGACCTGAACAGAGGTTTTAGCAAGGTGCGGTTAGCCTCTTCTTCCAGGTATAGTAATAGGATGAAAGGGGTTGACCTCAAGTTGCACCAGAGGAGGTTCAGGATGGATATGAGGAAGAATTTCTTCTCAGAAAGAGCAGTGCAGCAGTGGCACAGGCTGCCCAGGGGGGTGGTGGAGTCACTGTCCCTGGAGGTGTTCAAGAACTGTGTGGATGTGGCACTGGGGGACATGGTTAGTGGGCATGGTGGGGATGGCCTGATGGTTGGGATAGGTGATCTTAGAGGTCTTTTCCAACTTTAATGATTCTGTGATTCTATGATATGTGCAGCTTCAGTTGTTGGAGTCTCTGTTAGCTTCTGTCCTTGAGAAACAGGATTTGTTTCCTTCCTTTTTTTGTAGAATAGGCCCAAACCAAAGTCTAAACATTGCTGAATGCAGGGGAATTAAACCTCTGTAGAATCCTCCATCTAGGTAGAACCTAGAAGTTCAATCCAAACATGTCTGCACCTAAAGCATGTTGTAGAGTCTGTGTCTGGTCACGAGTGGCTTTTGAGCTGCTGGGAATCTAGTCAGCAGGAGAAGGGGCAGAACAACCTGGCGCTGAAGGAGAGGAGATGACTCTACCTTCTGTGTGTGGGCTGGCCTGGAGATTGGAGGAGGAGGAGTGAAGATTTCAGTTACGGTAAGTACTGTTATCCACTTGATAATAAAAGGAGGAAGGACAGAGCAGGCTGACACCTCTGCTTGTCCAGAAGGAAGCTGGACCAATAAACCCAGGCAGTGACACCAGAAGAAAACCCTCCCTGGCAGGTAGACAGACCACAGGGCTGAGTCACTCCTCACTTCTACACAGGACACTTCCCCTCAGCACCACTAACAGCAGCCCATGGGCTGACAAGGAGGTGGGGGCAGTTGACACTGGAGGGGGAAATATTGTCTGAAGGATGCAGCTGGGGAAGTGGTTTGCAGAAGCATGAAGGAGCAGGACAGGGAAGAGCCAGAGGTTGGTGTGGGAGGAGGAAGGGACTTGACCAGAGAGTGATGCTGTCAGGGACAGGCAAGGGTCAGTGTAGAAGGTGCTGGGTGGATACCACAGGGAGCTGATAATGATGGGGAGGAGAACATAGCAGGGTTTTTTTCTGGGGCTGTGAATCAAGTTCCTCTGTGAGCCACTTTGGCTCAGTCACTAAGAAAAGTTCAGTGGAAAAACCTGCAAAGCCACAGATGTGCAATGAAGAAGAAAGTACTTGTTCTCTTCTTTGAATTTCTCTCTTCACTGCTAATATATCTAAAAATCTAGGCAGGCAAGCTGTTCCCCTGAGCTGCAGAGGAGCACATATTTCCAGCTGAGAGGAAAGACTCTTGAATTACTGCCTGCCTTCTTGCACCAAGCCTCTGGGTATGGCAGTGTTTGCTTGCTTTCTGTACCATGGCTGCATAGCAGCATGGTGTCCTCCCCACATCCTCACCTGAGCTCAAGCCCTTAAATCTGTGCTCCACAGCAGACCTGGAGCCTCCCATGTCCACGTGCAGGATGAAAAGCCAGGCTATACAACCCACAGCCTGAACTCATGGGTTGGGCACAGAACTAGGGAAGTCACATGCTTCAGAGGTTCAGCAGGCTGTGCTGAA